TTTTGGTTATGTTAATTTTCGAAAATAAACAATTTTGATGTTGAATCGATTTAGAGCTTATAAATAAAAAATGGTAATAATTGGGTTCAATCTTTTTATGGATCTAGTCTTTATGGTCCATTACTAAGGTTTTATGTTTAAAAAATATTTCCCCATCGCCACTATACATCGTCCACTAATTTTTGATCAAAATCGACTTTTTATATAAATGTCTTACCAAGATCGACCGAAGAGTTTAAAGTAACCTTACTTTTTTTTTGCTCTGAGGCCCAGATATAGATATTTCAGATTAATGATTTTCTTGGCGATCGACTCAAAACTGCTTTGCGATCGACGTTATGGACACCACTGCCATATACTATATATGGTGCATGCTTATTTAATTTATTTATTAGATTTCGCATAAAAACTAGTTTCAAAATAAACAAAGTTTTGTTTATATCGTTTTTGATTTTTAAATTTAATTAATTGGGGATTAAGATTTAAACCAGTATTATAAATAAGTATGCGGGTTTCTTTGATAATTGTCATATTAAGAAGGATTTAAAAATGCTATACCTCTTTCGCTCCTCTCAACCTGTTATTTCTTAATTTCCTCGCGTTAATTGGCAAGCGGTCAACCTTCTGGATAATCTTAACAACCACAATAAGCCCCACTTTTACCACCTCTTGATAAATTTATCCTGTAGATAGTTTATCAGGAGGATGATAAAAGTGGACCTAAATCTTATTGATAATTTATTTTATCTCCACCACATCAACAATTAAAAAAAAGAAAACGATTTATTTATGTTAATTTCTTTATTTTATAGAATTAATTCAAATTATCACATGTTCGAATTGTCAAGGTAGCTGAAGTAACTCAAATATTTATTTAATTTATCTAAAAATGTGTATCAATTTACAAAATGTTATTTTCCTCTAATTCGCCGTCCTTCAACATGTCAATGCTGGAGCTTGTGCCACGAATTGTTAATAAAAATACTCCATCCACGACAAAGTAAATATTTACGAAAGATAACTACATTTATTTGTTAACAAGGTAATAAATTGTACATAGCAAAAAAATATCAACCAGAAATTATTAATTTATCTTATTGTAATTCCAAATCGACCACAAGTAACTATATATCGTTTCAAAGCGGAGTTAAATTTCATGTACTAAGGTGTGAGTAGTTGGCTCGAGTCCAATAAACTACAGCTGAAGGAGATTTGAACCGCAAATTCTTCTGTTGCATTAAAAATACAAAAAGATGATAAAATGAAATAAAACTGTGATAAATGAACAAGTCCTTCGAAGATAATTTTGGACTTACTTTATCTATTTCTCTATTATAAAAGACGATCCCACTCAACACGGTAACCGCTTAATTAAATTACCTCCTTTTCAAACTGTCCAAACCGTTTTAAATAGAATTTTCAATTACTCATTTAGAAAATTAGTTTACCTTACCAGAACCTATTTAAATTTTGTAGTTAAAGCGCAATGCGTGTATAATCCACATTGTTTTAGACACGAATGTACAAGAATTATGTAATTGTAATGTTCTTTTTCTGTTATTTATCTCCGCCTCTGAATCACTCGTCCATTTGTAATGTTTTCTCCTTTACCATATCTAATCTTCCCTTTCCTAACTTCCTTCCAAGACTCAACTAGAATTCTGCAATATGGTTTTCTATATAACATTTCTTCATATTTAACTGCTCTTCGGCCTGCCTCCATTTCATCCACCTTCACTTCCTCTCTCCAGACTTAGAACCCACTTCCAGTACCGATTCTGTAGGTCCTCCAGAATATCCTACCTCTTCCATCCCCAAACATCCTCATCAACCCATCAAACATAATCTTTCTCTTTCTGATGTCCGTTCCAAATACTCTCTCATCCTATCTCCAGACTTAATAACTGATAACTATTATATAGAAGTTATAGTTTTGTTAAGCAACCTCAGTTTCTGTCCTAGAAATCCTCCTTTGCAAGCTTGGTGCCCTGATGGTCAACTGACCAAGTTTTCTTCAATAAGTTTAAAAGTTTTCAACTAAGAGTCATTGAATAAGCACTACACTGTCACATCGTAAGTGAAGCGTAGAGAAGCAGAAGAGGATCTACTAATTGTGCAACTTTGTTCATGTTCTATTTTATGGCTGCCATCTACTTTTATTGCAATAAATATACACCGCAATCTAGCACTGGATGTTTCTAGTTCTAGGTCTAATGTTAGTTGTAGTTTTAATTCATTTAAGTATATATCATCCTGGTATTGAACAACAAGTAAAACTGGAATTAACACTATCATTAAAACTAACTCTAGACCTACAAGTAGAAACATTTGGGTTTAGCCGTCTTTAAAGACGTGTGGCTAAACCCGAATGTTATCTGTGATAATTAGACAATTATCACAGAATGTTGAACAAAGTCTTGGATGTTGAGGTTGATGTCTCTCAATATCTACGATGATATTGCGAGATATAAACAGCAACATACGATGACAGGATAGCATAGACAATATAGATGTTGACTCGGGTTGAAATTAGAAGACAAAGAACTATATTAATGTATCATGAAAGTATGCATGTTGTGAGATTTCAGGAATAATGTTAAGCAATGCGAAAAATAATGTTGATTAATGTTGGAAGATATCAGGGATGATGTTGAGAGATAACAAGGATGATACTAAGAGATATATTTAGAGATGATATAAGATGATGTAAATAAGGCACAAATTTAATACTATAGACGATGTCCTATATACAGGGTGGTTCAAATTCGATGTCCGAATAGGCTATCTCGGAAACTATAAGAGTTAGAAAAAAAGTAGCTTACATGTCATGATCTCGTTTTTCGAGAAACTGCTAATGCCAAAAACCTCAAAGCGCTATCGTCTTTTGTTTTTCGCCTAGAGGCCAAAATTGAAAATATCGTAAAATCAGCAAGTGCAATTATCTTGGTTGTTATTATAGGTGGAGTATTATAACTAACACATTATATTGACACTTTTTTACAGAGAATTTGACGACATACTCAAAAAAAAATTTTCTGTTTTAGATTTTGAAATAGGACAATTTTCGTTTTTTTTAAATGGAAACAACCACTGATTTTCGCTTATTAAATTCGTTATTTTTTTCTGATTACAAAAATATGGGGTTAGATAGGTCTATTTCTTATTGTTTTAGAATAAAGCTAAAAATAAACTTTTTTTTGGTGTCGTCAAAGAAATAAAATTTACAGTTTCCTGTAAATTACGGTACTATAACTAAAAATTATCCTACTAAAAGTTTATATAAAATTTACTTTATTTTCTAACATGTTAAACTTTTCGTAATCCATCTAAAAAAACAGGATTTTTAATTTGATACTTCAGAAAATTTTTTAATACAAACTGTTTATTTGAATTCAAAAAAGTAAAGTCCCTAGATTTACAAAGTAAGCGGGAAATTTAAAACTATATCGTTCTATTGATAACATTACGCCAAATTTCCTTGCTTTTTTTCTCGTGGTACTCTGAAGAGTCGAAAGTCCTTCTTACTGCAATTTTTGCAACCCCAAAGGCAATATTTTTGTAAATATATGGTGAGATGCAATGACAAGCTGGCTTCATGAACCGTGGTACTTTGTAAATCTAGGGACTTTAAAAAAAAATACTTATGAGCGCCATCTATCAATAATTTATTAAGTCATTTAATAATAATATTAAATATTAATAAAAAATGTGAAATAATGCAATCTATTCCAAGTTTTGTGTAAAACAAATATAAATTAAATAGTTCAACAAATGTATTTGTTTCAAATATTATAAATATGTTTTTTTTAATTTTTAGTTATAATTTACAGGAAACTGTAAATTTAATTTCTTTGACAACACTAAAAAAAAGTTTTTTATGAATTATAAAACGTCAAAAAGAGTCCCTTGAGAAAGTTGTGTTGGAAAGGAGAGTTTAGGATAATTTGTCATGGTAAGATCATCGTTAATCACAATATTTGAGAATTAATCATAAATTTAAAAATTCTTTACAACTCGTAAACTTCATTATAACCTCACGACCACCAACACTTTGTCAAATATCAACAGATTATTGAGAACGCATTAACACACATATGAAACACATTTCCACCATAGCTCATTTGAACCAAGAGTAGTTTTTTAACAATCTTTCTCTGAGCAAGATTTATGCCTTTAGTCCACCATTATTTTCTTTTTTAGTCATACACAAAACAAGTCTTCGTCCTTTCCCCAAGTCACATATGTATATCCGTAGTAACCCAGGCAATTTGCATCTGGTTCTTTTTTCAGCAAAAAGTTGCTTTGCACATTGTGTTTCAAGTTTCAACATCCTGCTTGGGTTACCTTTTTTTGGAACTAGACTTTACTTAAAATATTATCATTCAAGTTCAATAATATCATTTTTAAATGAAGTAAAAACAAACTTTTAACATTTAAAATAAATGTGCAGCTATAAATATCAATAAATCCTTTAGTGTGGGTGATTTATTAGATACTTCACGATACCCCTATAATTTTTATGGGCTATAAATTACGTTTCTAGTCGTTTTCTGCAAGAAAATTAGATTTTTCCGACTTCTAACGATTAAATCTTTTTAACATTTCCCATATCGTAACCTTTCAAATTAGTTTCAACTTGTTTTTATTTCAATACGACTAAATAGATAGAAAGTAAATAGTAATAAAAGGCGTCTGAACACAACATCGTCGCTTCTTGGAACGTTTCCAAGCAACCACAACTCCTTTGCAGTTATGCTGACTGTAAATTGCACTAGTTTTTTGTTTGAAATATAATTTGAACGCGACACGGTTAAAAGGTAATTGTAGTAGTGGAAGAGGATGCTCAAAACAACAACAAATTTAAATTCTTGGGCTCTGATTTTTATACGTTATTAATATAAGGATTATACAGATTATTTCGCACCACTTAAAAACAGGATTTTTAAACTTCTTATCAAAAAACCTTGAATTTTTATAGAACTTTCGGGATTATTTCTTGGGAATTGGCGAAGAAATATTTTAACGAGTTTCGAAAGAAAACAAATTAAAATAAACGTAAGAAATAATAAATTAGTATGTCGAATGGTATCGTGGTTACAAATGATATTGAAACGCATACAAGAACATAAATTACTTCAAGAGAGGCAGACAAAAGTGCAAACTCCTACGTTCAAGTTATCTAAAGAAAAACGTTACGACGACGATGGAGGTGGATTCACGTCACAGATATACGTAACTATTTACCAATGCTATAACATTTCGGAGAAAGGATACGAAAGTAGCACAAATGCTGAAAGTACAATAAATAACGCGATACTGAAACTATCAAAAAGATTCTTTGTAATTCACTTTTAATTATAATCATAGATAAATTAGAATTTCGAAAACATTTTCCTTTTAGCAGTGATTAAGCAGCAATTTAGAAAAATAAAAAATAAATCGTAAATTCTTATCCGAAACAGAGATCGAATTCGCGATTAGCAAATCAACTCGTTTGCAAGTCAATTTATATTGTGGACGGTTGAGTGGAAGTTTTTTTGGTATTCTAATGAATGTTAATAAATAGAAAAAGTATTATAAACAAAATATATTTCTCTTAATGAGTAAAGATGTAATTAATCAACTGGATTAACACAAATCTTTTTAACCTCGTTTCATTATTCATGAAAAACAAAAAAAATGAATCGATATTTATCGTAGCTTTCGTATTCATGATGGCTGTTTACCTCAATTTAAGATTGACGTATACCCCAATTAAATGAGGACTATTAACCCCACCTGCTGACTGTGTAATTATCAGTATGATTTCAAAGTTATCTAGGTTAATCCAACAAATAAAATTTTCTAGAAAACAAAAAATTATTAGAATTGAGTTCGAAGTAAATATTTTCACCTCCACCGAGAAATACTTGGGTTTATTCAACGTTAATTAACGAGTTCCCTAGTGGTTTGAATCGTTGGATCGAGTTTGTATGCAAATAACAATATTTATTCGATTGAAGGGAACGAGCGATTTAGGTTTTCAATTTATTGCAATGTGGAAATGCAATAAAGATGATGCCAGTTGGTGGAAATGATATTTACAACCTTAATTCAATTTTTTTTTGAATAGAAGAATAAATTTACAATCGAAATTAAAGAGTAATATTTCCTTGTATTGGCTTTCGTTCTTGAGATATTCCGCTTCAAATCCATCAATGTTGGCGTTTTTAGCAACAACTAAGACTTTTAAGGCGAATATCTCAAGAACGAAGATTGTTATTAAAAAAGCTTACTCTTTATTTTCGATTTAAAAATCATTTTTCTACACGATTAACTTATATTTTGTACTTTAAAGTTGATTGTTAATAAATATTATTCGAAAAAGCGAATAAAAATGTGAATTTTATGAGATTAACTTTTATTTCAACGATTCGTAATTAATTGAGACGACATTTTCAGAACTTTCAAAATTATTTTCTGGTAGAAAAATAAATTTCAAATGGAAATTAAAGAGTAATATTTTATCGTATTTGTTTTTGTTTTTGAGATATTTCGTTTTAAATCCATCAATGTTGGCGTTTTTAGCAATAACTAAGACTTTTAAGGCGAATATCTCAAGAACGAAGGTTGTTATTAAAAAAGTTTACTCTTCATTTTCGATTTAAAAATCATTTTTCTACACGACCAACTTATATTTTGTTCTTTAAAGTTAATTGTTAATAAATATTATTCGAAAAAGCGAATAAAAATGTGAATTTTATGAGATTAACTTTTATTTCAACGATTTCTAATTAATTGAGATGATATTTTCAAAACTTTCAAACTCATTTTCTGGTAGAAAAATAAATTTCAAATCGAAATTAAAGAGTAATATTTTATCGTATTTGTTTTTGTTTTTGAGATATTTCGTTTGAAATCCATCAATGTTGGCGTTTTTAGCAACAACTAAGACTTTTAAGGCGAATATCTCAAGAACGAAGATTGTTATTAAAAAAGCTTACTCTTCATTTTCGATTTAAAAATCATTTTTCTACACGATTAACTTATATTTTGTTCTTTAAAGTTGATTGTTAATAAATACCATTCGAAAAAGCGAATAAAAATGTGAATTTTATGAGATTAAGTTTTATTTCAACGATTCCTAATTAATTGAGACGACTTTTTCAGAAGTTTCAAAATTATTTTCTGGTAGAAAAATAAATTTCAAATCGAAATTAAAGAGTAATATTTTATCGTATTTATTTTTGTTCTTGAGATATTTCGTTTCAAATCCATCAATGTTGGCGTTTTTAGCAATAACTAAGACTTTTAAGGCGAATATCTCAAGAACGAAGGTTGTTATTAAAAAAGCTTACTCTTCATTTTCGATTTAAAAATCATTTTTCTACACGATTAACTTATATTTTGTTCTTTAAAATTGATTTTTAATAAATATCATACGAAAAAACGAATAAAAATGTGAATTTTATGAGATTAACTTTTATTTCAACGATTCCTAATTAATTGAGGCAACTTTTTCAGAACTTTCAAAATTATTTTCTGGTAGAAAAATAAATTTAAAATCGAAATTAAAGAATAATATTTTATCGTATTTGGTTTCGTTCTTGAGATATTCCGCTTCAAATCCATCAATGTTGGCGTTTTTAGCAATAACTAATACTTTTAAGGCGAGTATCTCAAGAACGAAGGTTGTTATTAAAAAAGTTTACTCTTTATTTTCGATTTAAAAATCATTTTTCTACACGACCAACTTATATTTTTTTCTTTAAAGTTGATTGTTAATAAACATCTATTAGTTTAGATTTTTTTCTTACCCCCTCTTAATTAGTTCTGATGATGTTTTCATAACGTTTAATATCTTTTTCAGGTATGAAATTAAATTTAAAATCGAAAATAAAGAGTAACATTTTCTCCTATTACATTTCGTTCTTGAGATATTCCGCTTTAAACTAGCCAATATTGAAATTTTTTGTAAAAACTAAAACTTTTATGGCAAATATCTCGAGAACGAAGGTTGATATAAAAAAATGTTACTCTTCCTTTTCGATTTAAAATGCATTTTTCTATACGATGATGTTTTACGTTTATCGTTAAATATGTTTATTAATCAACATTACAAGAAAAACCCGATAAAATGTGACATTTATTAGCTGAGTTTTCAAGTAAATAAATAAATTTAATTTATATCAAATAAATATTTTCCTTAGACCATTTAAGTGAATTAAAAACGCCCTTTCTGTTTGAACTATGGCGTCGAATTTAACCTTGAAAACTTCAAGCTCCCATTGACAAGTATGTTTATTAAGAGAGAACCTTGAAAACTGAAAAACTCCTTCTTCTTAAACCCGGTTTATAATTAAACACGTGTATCTATTTTTCAGCAGCTTGTTAGCGTGACATAAAGTTAAGAGATCAACTTTTATTAAATCACGGTTATTTTTTAAGCTGGACGGTTTTTACGTAGTCGAAATCTTACTGATTTAAAGAATAATGGCATCATTTATTTTTGTTTCTTCACACGGTGTGGTGGCATTGGGCCAGAATATATAATCGTATTGTACACACAAGATGTCCTAAATTTTTATATTTATCTTTAATTTTATAAGCTTTCCTCTACCTTAACACATTTTTTATTATTTACTTATAAATATGATAATATTTATTTACGATTCGAATACGTTACGTTTAATTTACGATAAGATATTACAAGATGTAGTAAAATTCAATGACGTTCATAAACAATGGATCATTTAAAGCTGTTGACGATTTATTTTCGATTTGCTGACGTTTTTCTCCATTAAAACAATGGATATTATTTAACTAATATCTTGTGGGTGGTTTCGAAAACAACATGCGTTTATTCAGTACTAGCTTAATTATTTATGAGTTATTTTGATTATAAGTTTGCAATGTAAACATTCCTAATCCCTACCTCGGAACTGGATACATACGGTAAAGGTAGATTTTGATGAAGTTTACTCCAACTGATTGTAAATGGCATTTCAACGAGATGTTGGAGCTTATTGTTATGGATCTAATTGAATCGTGGAGCTTTGCCACGTACAAATTTTGATCAACAACAACAAGTTTCTACCAATTTCAATTGAAATACAACATCTAACGTGAATCCTCTTACAAACTTAACATCAGCTTATTAATAGTACTAAAACTTTTACTTTCTAGAAGAATCCTCAAGCGATTACGTCCAGCTAAAGTTTACACTGAACGTAAATAAACGAAATTATGTGGTTACTTTGTTTTCATTAGTGTAGTTTATTTAAGTTTCTAATCTAATACTTAATAAACTAAGATGTGACATTCTTTGATCAAATATCTCCGTTAATTTCAAAGTCATAACATACAACTCACGGCATGTTTCCTCTACGTTAAACACACGTTTCGTCACTGGACATATTCGAGATTTATTGCAGCGACCGCTCATAAGGTTATTTATTAAGCTGCAAGGTAACACAAGAAGTTTCGTAAGAATTGTGCTTTAAACTTGTTATCTTAAACCTAGAAAAGTGAAAGATTTATTTGATTTCTTTTGACAATAAAATGAAATTCAAGGTTATTGAACCTTCAACAAAAAACAAGAATTAATATCGTATTTCGTTTAAAATAAATGATCGTCTCTGTTAAAATAATCGTTACAAAGTGAATGTTAACTGAGAAGAGGCTATACGGCATGCTGTGTGGTATAAATTAACGTGACATGGCAATCATTTAAAATTTAAACCAACTTTTTTGTATAATTCGTACAGATGGTGTTCTAAATTTCGAACTCGAGACGAAGATTTCAGAAAAGTGTATAATTAAGTCAGTGTATTAACGAAGACGAATAATTAACTATATCTCGAGAACCAGTTGAGATATCAACTTGAAATAAGAAACGTTTTAAAGCATATTTAGTTAATATTTAATGTGTAGAAAATCGTTTTTTAATTTCTATAAATTTTAAAGATATGATTTTTATAGTACATCTATGAGTATTTATTTATTACATCTAGATATAGAGGGTAAACTTTAAAGAGTTATATCTCAAAAGGTAATTGAGATATCAAGGTGAGATAAGAAACATTTTAAAGTAAATTTAATCTAGATTTAGGTTACCGAAAATAATTTCTTCGATTCTATAAACCTCGATGATATGATTTTTTAATTTTAACTCTGTTGTGTAATTAAAGAAATTGGTAAAGATACAATTTAAATAAGTCGTATCTCAAAAACTAATTGAGATATCAATATGAAATAAGAAACATTTTAAAGTAAATTTAATCTAGATTTAGTTTACCGAAAATGATGTCTTCGATTCTATAAATCTCGATGATATGATTTTTTAATTTTAACTCTTTTCTGTAATTAAAGAAATTGGTAAAGATACAATTTAAATAAGTCGTATCTCAA